ATGGGTAGGCCCGTTCGGGGAAGTGGTCTTTGTTTCATTTTGCAAGTGAGGTAACCGAAGCCAACTTTATTAAATGGTAGCAACGGATCTGCGACCATACTGGTTTTGCGAATGTCCATGGGCAACCGTAATCACTTAACATCAAGTGAAACGGAAGCGCACTTACCACCTTCTCACATTAAAAAAGCCACACTCAGAATGTCAGCTTCAATTGATGAAGTAAAGTTTCTTAGAAGCATTATAGAAACACGAAATTGGAGTGAAATAAAAAAAGAATTAAGTTTTTGTTTACTATTCTATTACTATATATATATGTATAGTAATGTGATTTTGCCTTATTTTTTTCTGATTCAGTAACGGCAAAATAGAATTGATATGAGTAAAGCTTTGTTTTTCCTTTTGGTGCCCAACGCATCGCTAAACATTTAAAATAGGCGCTTAAAAATATAACCAATTTGTGAACTAGAATAGAAGCGCCACGTGGGGGCGGCATCGCATTAACACGCTCACGTTGGCCTGCTCATGTTCTCTATGTCATCATCGACTCAAAATGCGATTCTCAATTTTTTTCAAAAATGTATTTATAGCAATATATGTAAGTAGGGACCAAAATTTTTCTACAATAATCCAAAAATTGCTTCTGTCACAGTAAAAAACAATACAAAAGTATTCCATACTTTTCTATTGTTTTTTCGAAAAAACAGTCAAATAACTAAAGTATCGTTTTCTTATTCTGTGTGTATTTCCATTTCAGCTGTGGCCATGTTATGAACTGGTGTCACGGTCACGAATCTTTTGTTACAAGTGTGAGCTTTCCATTTATCGCATTTTTTACGTGTAAATCGTTATCTCACGTTTGTGTCATTTCATCATATTAAACAAACTAGTCATCGTCTATTGGTCGAAATTCGACCATAATTAATTATACCTACCGTGTAGTGTGCAATGTATTTTTTATTGATTTGATATTAGAAATAGAGCCGCGTTGGTCTCGCGCGTGCTACATAATAACCTAAGAAAATTAAGAAAATAAAGCTCTTAAGGCATTAAGAAAAATAAAGCTCTTAAGGCACAGACTTCTATTATATAAGGCCTGTGTATGGTGAATTATGTCCTATGCATGCGTGACTTTTGCCCACACAAACCAAGTTGCAAATAGTGCAAAATAAATTCATCCACCGCGTGACCAGAGCGCAATTGTATCAACGCAACCTCGACGTTAGTTACTGCAGACTCCCGACGATTCGCGAACATTTTAAAATTCTCACCAAACGATTGTATATAGTAATTGCAGAAATTCTCTTACCCGCTGAATATACATATAAAATTTCAACAAAATCTGTCAATTTGGAGGAGTACAAACACTAAACCCGTGGCACAAGAATTTTATGTATTAGATATTACGTCAGTAAAATGCCGATAGGACTGCATCAGTCTTTATATCAGACTTTATATAAAGATACCCAATTTAACGGAATTTCAGTTAAAATTATATACTAAGATGTTCGATTAACAAGATATTTGAAAGGGGCCATTACGTCCGTTTCGAAATGTTAACCCTTTCTTCTTTCTTTTGTATATTACTTTTATAAATTCGCATATAATAGTCATGTGTGTATTCATTTTCTTAAAAAGGTATATTAATAAACTTCCACGCCACCCACGGAGCGTGGATTTTGTAGCTGTCCAAACTTTCGTCATCACACTACACACATACGGTTTTGTGTATATGCGACTGTACCAACCAATTCATAAACGCATGTCAAGCCAATGTTTTTCTAATATTTCTATACTTATTATTTTTCTTTGATGATAATGTATAGAATTATATAAAAAACAAGAGATTTGTAGTTTCTCCTTACTGTCCGCCCTTAATACCCAGAACATAATTTAATGTCCAAGTCCTTACATCATTTCATCTTGAGGAAAATTATATTTAAACTGAACCAATGAGTTATTACATTAATCGAATGCCGTCATAACGACAAAAAAATATATTACTCTTTTTATTCTGGCTAGATAATATGTATCTGCCAAATAAACTGAAGCAGAAGATTAGCTATATTATTAGCATATAGGTAGAATAAATAATGATAATCTAGTATTAAATAGATTGTGTATAAATCGTGAAGCTAGTTAAGCTCGTGGAAACTGTCTTTGCTGTATGTAATAAATTTTTAAAAAGTACGCATACAGCATGATTAAAACTCGTAAACTCTCAGATCATACTCTTAAACTCATGGAACCAAGACGTGAGATTCGGCTAGAGTTTGTTAGTCTCGAGAACGGCAGGACCGATTTGGCTAATTTTGGTTTTGAAATGTTTGTGGCAGCCCAGGGAAGGTTTAAACGATGAGAAGTTATGGAAAAATCGAAATAGCAAGAATTTTATTTTCCCATACAAACCTGTAGGTACCTGTCAACCTGTCAACTGTGTCTGTGTAACCTGCTGTCAAACACTTTAAGCGTGCGATCCGATGCCTCTAGAAAATTTGTATGGCATAACAACGTTTGCCGAGTCAGCTAGTAGATATATATATATATATATATATATATATACATTTAATCTCATCAGGATAGTTCTACGCCAGAGCCATAGATAGGATGACCTGATGTTGTTCTTCAAAAAAGGCGATTACCTTCACTGCTAGCCTTAATGAGGAAGCTTATCAAGTTAGTAGAGTTCACAATGAAGATATCCGCAATAGAACAAAGATAATCGACATAGCTCAGAAGATCACACCCTCAAAATCCGACACCTCCTTGGGACAGCTAGTCGCCCTCCCAGTGGTAAAACAGGTTGCCGGATTCGAGGAATATCGTGTCCTCCCCCTGTCTTCGGACTTCAGATAATCCTATTATATCCCAACGCAGCCTGTTCACCTCTTCTTCCAGCTCTGTAATCTTCTCGTCAGTCCTCAATGTTCTTGCGTTGTATGTTGCCAGGTCCAGTTGCCGTCATTGGTAGCTGAATCCTAGCCGGAGATTCTTAGCACCCCCTGCCCTGCTGTTACCATGACCTCTACCGCAGCCAGGAATAGCAGGGCCGCCGGGTACTGCACATTTCACACATCATGAGCGGGGTTTTGCCATAGTTGCGACGCCTGGCAAGCGGGTTGGCAATCGCAGTTCCTCCAGACTCCTCGCAACTTTAACGCTGCTGCCCGTTATTAGCCTGGATATTTAGGTTCTGGAGAGTCGAGATGGTTACTCCTACCGATAGGGACGAAGAGAAAACCGAATGCCTGGCCGACAGTCTAGAGTTTCAATGCTCCCTTAGTCTGCTTCCGATCAACCCCGAACACCTCCGTAAGGTGAACGAAGAGGTTGAAAGGAAAGCTTTAGAGCCAATTCGCGATCCCGTTCCCCCGGTCACGCGCTCCGAACTAGTAGACACCATCAAAAAACTACGTCCACGTAAAGCACCAGGCTCAGATGGTATCACCAATAAGGTGACCAAACTCCTCCCTACTAGCATCCTTCAGATACTCGTATTAATTTACAACGCGGCTATTACCGAAGGCTTCTTCCCGTCTGAGTGGAAGAGAGTTCCTCAAACCCTCTAAACCGGCCACTCTCCCAACCTCATATCGCCCAATAAGTCTTGTCATAACATTTGGGAACGTCTTTGAAAGACTAATACTAGCCCGCTTAAGATCCCTTATGGACACCAAAGGGCTCCCCATCCCAGTTGTTTTGGTTTTGATTCAGAGCCAAACATTCATGTACCCACCAAGTGCACCGCATCACGGAGCACATTCTAACTAAATGCCAACGCGGACTCAACAAGGGAGCACTCTTCCTGGACGTGGCAAAGGCGTTCGATAAAGTCTGTTCGGTAAAGTACGGAGTGCCCGACCGTCTCGTATGCATAATATGAGACTTTCTAAGTAATCGGACCTTTCGCTATAGCGTCGAGAGCGTGTTTTCGACATCGGGCGGCCTTCGTACTCGGTCGCATCCGCTCCTTAATAAAACGTCAAAAATGTCCCCATAACGCGTAATAATAACACACTGAGGTTCAGGCTAGGCGCACCGTGCGCCAGGCCACCTCAAGCCCGTCGGAACTGTGAAGGCCCCTAAGGCCTAAAAAACAATCCAGCCCAAAAAAAAGAGATGGTTATCCCGCCATCTATCGGTGGCCACCCGATGTTTGTGGCTTGTCCCTTAGTCGCCTCTTAATTATAGTTAACTATACGTTCATCCAATTCAGCGATTACTTTTTTAAGTTGATAATACTTTTTTTATTTATGAACCAATTTGAATAAAACTGACACTAAATGTTAGGTAAAGTATTATAATGTATTAGTGAAAGTTGCACCCAAATCAGTTAAGCCGACAATTTTAACAACCATTGTTTTGGGTTCTATTGCGTTCATAAAGGGGGATCTTTAATAATAGTTTTTCTCAAATATCCTCCATGTACAGACAAACACAAGTTACATTTTCATTATATGTAGGTATAGATATTTTTATCTGTCTGAATTTTTCGCTTTCACCCTATTCCACGCGGACGTAATCGCGGGCGACAGCTAGTTAAATATATTTGTGTCGTGAAAAACCAAAAACGCGAGCGTTTTTGGTAATAATATATAATAAAATACACAAGAATAATAAGCAATCATGATATTAATTTTAATAGGTTTAATTTTAATACGTTTAATATAATAGATACTAACCTGTTTTCATTAATTGTAGTAAAGCGCATCAGGCATTGGTATATTACTTTTAAAGAAATGCAACATTAAACTTTCTGGTTAGTCTGAATTTAATTGGCTTCGAGTTTTTTCATAGACAAAAACTGTGTGAATAAATTCTTACATAGCCCTAATGATCTGATAACCAATTACAGATGTTTTTGTCAAGCAAGAACCAATAAAGTATGATTATCATCATCAGCCGCAAGACATCCACTGTTGAACATAGACCTCACCCTCAGAACACCACAACGAACGACACTTTTTCATGAATTATAAAGTATGCCGTAAATTGGTTTTCAGTTGGATCAAGATGGGTACGTGGTGCTGGAAGATTTCCTTCTGCCCACGGAGTGCGACGAGTTAGTCGCTGTAGCGACGGACTTCACTAAGGAAGTTGCCGATACAAACCCGAAGCCAATATTTTCAACTGTCGATGCCGATCAGTTGGTAATTTTTATTTATTTATTTATAAATACTTGTGGCAACCCACACATATAATCCAGACATACATAAAAACATTACTCAATTCCTATATATCTTCATTCGTTATTTTTTATAGTTTGTATTCTTAACTGTCTTAATCATGAATATTGCTCGCATTACATTGTAGTCTCATTTCGAAAAAAAAAATTGAAGTAGTTCTAAAGATTTTAGAAGCCAAAAGAGTAAATTGATCCAGGCTACATATGAACTACAAAGAAAGGAATTTTTACTTTTTTTAACACAAACGTAAGAATTTAACTTATGAAGGCTTGAAAAAATTTAACAATTTTAAATTTAAGTATAATTCCTTTTTTACAATGGCAGAGACATTTATTATAATTCACCAGTTACCAAATGACTAAGAAGTGATCATGACCAACCAAATTAATATACAATTTATTTATTTAAAATATTATATATATATATATTTACAATATTAAATCTTACTTATTACATATTATCTAATGAACTTACTCCACGCGGCATGGTGCCAAGAACACTAGCTGCATTTCCTCGCTCGCAAACCTAGGATGTAAACCTTTCGAAAACTTCGATGTACGGGGACAAAACGGACCCAGGGTTTCAACAGCAAAGGGCACAAATGAATTTAAGACTCATACTTGCGCCTCTTACTTACATATTAGTTACCAAATTAGATATTACCTATTACTAGTGGTCGAAATGCGACCATAATTAATTATACTTGGTAGTGTGTGTAATTTTTTTTATTGATTTAATGTATTTTTATGCATAATTTTAAAAATATTAGAATTCTGTACTCATCCTCTATATAAACTATAAGTGTGGGAAATTACATACTGCTCCGTCCGCCCAATTTTCGCAAAAAGGGGTACAAAGTTTTTGCTTCACGTATTATAATGTATGTACAGGTGTTTTTTTTTTATTTCCAGCAACTCAAAGACAAATACTTCGTCGACAGTAGCGACAAAATAAGCTTTTTTTTTGAAGCGGAAGCCGTTGATGCCAACGGCGACCTTAAAGTTGATCCTAGCGTTTCATTAAACAAGGTAAGTGCAGTACCTAAGTCAAGACGGAGGGAACTTCGTGTAGTAGCATAGTTTTCAACTTTATTCAGCTCAGTAGAAGGCGAAAACTTCGACATTCCTGTACTGAAAAGCGAGACCTAACTTTATAGGTTTTCTAAGAAGAAGTTTTCTAAGAAGTATTTCGAATCCAACTTATTAAATTGCCGTTTCGTACGAAATACGTGGGGTACACTAAAAGTTTCCGGAATAAATAAGAAAAATGTATAATAAATTTATTGTTTCTCCAAATATTCTCCCTTTGCTTAAATGCACTTTTTCATACGATTAAAACATTTGTGCCACCCGTCCGTGGTGACCTCATAAACGTGTTTTTCATACTCTTAGACAGGCTTTTCCGATGATGAAAATCGTTGACCGCGTAACTGGTTTTTAATTTTTGGGTACAAAAAAGTCCCAAGGTACCAGGTCGAGAATGTATGCAGGATGGCTGATTAGATCTACGTTTTTCACCTTCAAAAAATCGTTTTTCTGTCTGGCCGTGTAGAAACTACCATTATCGTGGTGCAAGATAATACAGCATTTTCGGTTATTTTTACGCAGTTCGTCAATAATATCCGGCCAAAAATTGATCCTGTACTAATCACTAGTATAACAATCAATAGTATAACAGCGCGCCGCTTTGGTTTCATTGGTAATCATCTTTAAAGCCCCATATGCTCGATTGCTGCTTTGTTTCGGGATCCCTATGTTTTGGGATTACTTTGTCTCACAGCAAATTTGACGCCCCTTCTTTCAAACTGGTAAGTATGGCATTGCACCAAGTGACGTGGTCGGGTAAATTGTGAGGGATCCACCTCGAGCACAGCTTTCTCACATCCAAATGTTTGTGTAGAATTGATTGTATTTCACTCCAACCTTTGTCTAAGGATGCCCGTATCTCATGGTAGGTCATATGCCTGTCTGTTACAATCATACGGCGCACAGCATCGATGTATTTGTTGTTCACAGCGGTAGACGGGCGACCATCGCGAGATTCGTCACTGAGACTTGTCGCGCTTGACTTTCTAAATCATCTAATAGTCGTCTGGCATGGTGTTTGATAGCCAAAAACAGATTGATGCCGAGCGAGGCTCTACTGCACTGTCAATTCAGTACAGTCACTGAAATTACACTTAAAATTACAGAAAATAATACTACGCCAAAGGGCATTGTCCACTTTGTATGGGGGTTTTGGCTTAGAGTGAACAGTCACTGAGAATATAAACGATGTGTAGAATTAGTAGATTTATTCAGAAGGAATTAGAAAAATAATAAAGTTTTGTGTCCCGGTGTTTTTTAATTTTTTTAATAAACTTAAACAGGGCTTTGAAATATAATATTGAATTCATTCATTTCATATCTTTTTATTAATCAGATTCATAAGTTAATATAATGTTATCTAAGAACTGGGCAGGTGGATTTACAGACTCTTGGTATCTTGCCCAGCTCAAATTAAATAACAGTCATTATGACTGTTATTTAGTTTGAGAGCCACCATGCAGTTGCAAAAATATTGTTTTATACTACCTGTCTGTTATATTATTTTCATATAAGATATAAATATAATATATTTTTCTGCTGATACACAACAACATACATTCACAATACCTACGAATAAAGCAAATGACTTTTGTCAAAATAAGAGTCACAACTCAAAAGTATTGCCTAGTGTTGCCATAAAAATCGTAATCAATGAACAATTTTTTCTTCTATGATTCTGGCATTTTGTTATCCTTTATGCCAATGACAAGTAAAATAATGAACAATTGCAATTGAAGTTGATGGAAATAATACAATATTAACTTTAATTCCTTATAAATATATATGTATAAAAATGCAGTGCCACATGATTTCGTGACTTATGCACTTTCGATTAATTATTTTTACCACAAATAAAATCGAAGTAAATAAATGAGAATAAATATATATTATTTTGCTTGATTAAAAAATTGAATAGTCATAGATGTGATTGAGATTTTTATACTGGCAAGGTAATATTTTAAAATGTCGACAAGACTGTGTATATAAATCAATATAACCACTCATTATTGGATGTTTTTATCAGTTTGAATCGATACAACCGAAAAATACAAATATTCATGTTTTATTCAGGGAGATTTTTTGGTATATGTGTTTTTATCTAAGAATTCTGTTCACGCGAAGCCAAAAATGGACAATGTCCTTCACCGAGTTAAATTTATGTTAATGTAGACACGCAATTTTTAAAATGGCGCCACAATGCAAAAACAATTGACAGTCAAAAGAAACAAACTGCATTGAACAGGCAAAGAATTCCAGTTTAAAATGTTGTCGTTACTATTAAACATATTGTTTATGTAAGTGGTCAGTTCCCGAAACTTTTAGTGTGACCTATGTAAATTAAAGTAATTAAAATTATTTTTATCAATGAACAAACCAAGCCATTTTATGAATGTAGAACCCTGATGTTTGAAAAAAATACTTATTTCAAAACTTATATCTCGAAGTATTGGCGATTACTCAATTCAATTAAGAGATATCAATATTTACGATTTTTTGCCTATTGCAGGTGGGTCACGCACTGCACTTTTTGCACCCGATCTTCAGATGTTACACATACAGCGAACGCGTCAAACGAGTCTGCAAGGAACTTGGCTTGGTAAAGCCGTCTGTAGTGCAAAGCATGTATATTTACAAAAATCCCGGAATTGGAAGTGAAGGTAGTTCAACAGATTAAAATTATGAACGCTCTAAACTCTAAACGAATTCTACCATTAATAGTCCTGATGCCCCTAAAAGCGACGCTACACAGTAACAATTGGTTACAAAGTGCTTTATAGATAACGCGACGCCGATGTCACATCTAATTTCGTTGGAATTTATAATAAATTTAAATTAATTATAGTATTTAAATAAAATTGTCGGACTTGGTGCATTTGCATGTTCATTATATTACACGATAAATAATTATTTAAATAATGAGAATTATAACAATGTTAATAGTTTTTCTAAACCTCACATTTTGGTAAACTTTTTGTTCCTATGTTCAATTCACTATTAGTAAATATTTTAATTCCAAATGGCATACTAAGTGCGAATTCAATGACACAAAAACATGTAATGAGGGCACATGACGTAGGCGAAGAGTTGCCAGTATCAGGTGGGAGAAATTGGGAGCGAGAGAGAGTAAAAGTTTTGAGGATACAATTATAGCTCTGTGTGAAAGAGATAGCACCATGTCATGTACTGCTGCAAGAAATTATTAAAATAATAGTCTTCGGTTGCAAAACGAAATATAATAATATTTACCATATTATTACCTACATGTTTAATGTTGTAAATGTCAAACATGTTATAAGGATTTATGGCAGGAAATGTGCGGAATGCCATTAAATAAAACTCACAAATGTGCTCACTGTTAATTGTATTTACATCAGAAGAACTTTAGATGTGTTCACAATATTTTCACCCTTAAAATAATGTTACTGTTAATAAAGACAAGTCGACCGTTGTGTTCTGAGCAGCGAGTGTAGAGGCAGAGGGAAGTCCCTGGTCGCCGACCAATCAGAGGCGACTCGGTTGCAAAGCGCGAGTCGCGCGCTTTTGCGCGCTAAGTTTAAAATAGACGTGGCGGTTGTTTTCATCCGCCACATCACCCCCTTAGGCAGAAAATTAGCCCATCCAAAAAATAAAAACTAAACATGCAATAAATTCTTAACCTAAATATAAAAAAGAAAAAAAAACAACATGCTTATAATCTAATTATGAGAATGATGAATGGAAGAGCATTTAAAGTAAATTACAGGTTCAAACGGTCTTTAAAACGGAAGCTACGACCTGAACGGGTAGTGTAAGGAGGTGGTGCGGAGTGTTTAATACAAGCAGGAGGCGCAGCTGGGACAACTGGAGTTGCAGCTGGAGTAGGCAAAGCAGGTGAGTTAGCAGTTCGAACTCCAGGTGCTGACGGTACCGAATTGTCCGTTGACAATTCGGTACCGTCAGCATGAAATATATAAATAAAATCATAAAACCGGCATGTATGCCGGTTTTACACGGTCAAGACTCACTTGCGTGTTTCTGTCACCAACAGTGATCGTTATTGTCTTCTCCGTTCTAGACACTACCTTATGAGGTCTACTGTAGGGCGGCTTGAGAGAAGGTCTGACTGTGTCATCTCTCAAGAAGACGTGTGTAGCAGTCAAGAGGTCCTTCGAAACGAAGACTGGCTGCTGACCATGGCAGGAGGCAAGGTGTTGGCCTCAGTCGTGCCATCTGCAGGCGGAGTTGAGTGGCGAAGTTGGTTAAGTCCTCGACGCGATCTGGAGCTGGAGAAGGAGCAATGAGTTCACCGGGCAAGCGCAGGGGTTCCCCGTAAACAAGCTGGGCTGGTGAGCATTGCAGGTCCTCTTTGAGAGCTGCGCGCATGCCGAGTAGGACCACAGGCAGCGACTTGTGCCATGTTTCCTCGTGGCACATCAAAGCGGCTTTAAGTTGCCTGTGCATGCGTTCGACGAGGCCGTTCACGCACGGGTGGTAACTTGTGATGCGAACGCGTTTGCTGCCACACATCTGCATGAGGGTCTGAAAAAGAGACGACTCGAATTGACGACCCTGGTCGGTCGTCACGATGGTGGGCAGGCCGAAACGAGCGATCCAACCTCTAAAAAAGGTTTCTGCGCCCTCCTTCGCCGTCATGTTGACCATTGGCCAAGCCTCTGGCCACCGAGTAAATCTGTCGACAGCCGTCAGACAGTACTGGAATCCCTTACTGGAAGGGAGAGGACCAATGATGTCAATATGCACGTGGTAAAATCGTGCGGTTGGTGCAGAAAAATTACCAAGAGGAGTCAATGTATGCCGAGAAATCTTGCTGCGTTGACAAGCAGTACAAGCACGAGACCATTTGTAGCAGTCTTTGTGTATATTCGGCCACACAAAACGCTCAGCTACCATGCGTGCGGTTGCCCGCGCGCCGGGGTGGTTGAGATTGTGAATTTTGTCATAGTAAGAACGGCGAAAAGAAGATGTAAGAAATGGACGAGGTTTACCCGTGGAGACGTCACAGAAAATTTCAACGTCGGAACCAGGAACCAATACTTTTTCTAGTTTTAGGGACGAGTTGGTTTGCATCCTCTGCAGTTCGTCGTCAGTTGCCTGTTCCGCAGCGAGAGCAGCGAAGTCATCGAGTATATGGACGGCTTCCACACGTGACATAGCGTCAGCAACGACGATTTCTTTCCCATGTACATGAACGATGTCAGTTGTAAACTGGGATATAAAAGAAAGCTGGTTGAGCTGGACGGGTGGAAGCTTCTCTCGTTTTTGTGAAAAGGCGTACGTTAACGGTTTATGATCCTTGTATATAACCACATGTTGAGCTTCCATGATATGGCGAAAATGATGGACAGCGTCGTAAATCGCTAGCAGCTCCCTGTAGTAGGCGGGCCAGGTTTTGAGCTTCTTGCTAAAGAAGGCGAGAGGCTGCCAGGAGTCATCAACGAGCTGTTGTAAACAAGCGCCAACATGGGTGGACGAAGCATCGGTGAATAAACCAAGTTTAGCGTCGGGTACAGGGTGGGCAAGAAGCGTCGCATTCGCAAGATTGTCCTTGCATTTCTGGAACGCGGTGTGGAGCTTCGGTGTCCACGGAACTGATTGCGACCCTTTAAGCTGACCCGACACGTAACTGTCTATTAACGGCGCTTGGAGTTCTGCAGGATGTGGCAGAAAGCGGCGGTAAAAATTCACCATACCGAGGAATCTGCGGAGGCCTTCAACTGTTTTAGGTGGAGAGAAATTCCGCAGGGCTTCGATGCGCTCAGGAGGCGGACAAGTACCCGATTTGCTAACCTTGTATCCGAGAAAAGTTACTTCATCTGCGCCAAGCACACATTTCGATGGGTTGACAACAACACCGTATTGCGATAAGCACTTGAATAGAGCGCGAAGATGGTCAACATGGTCCTCGGGGGTCTTTGAGAAAACGAGTATGTCATCGAGATAGGGAAACACGAAGTCTAGGCCATTGGTTACCTCATCGATGAAGCGCTGGAAGGTTTGTCCAGCATTGCGCAAACCAAAAGACATAAAACAAAATTCGTACGAACCGAAAGGTGTAATAATGGCAGTTTTGCTTATATCTTCAGGTGCGACAGGGATTTGTTGGTAGGCTTTAACCAGATCTGTTTTGCTAAAGATCGTACAGTCGGCTAGGTTGCTACCAAAGGTCCGTCTGTGGTCAAAACGTGGTGGACGGTGTTGTGCTTCGCAACGCGGGGAAATCCGGGTGGTCTCGTCAGTTCTGGAAACTCCTGTAATATTTTGGAGAAAACGGAATTGTCAGTAATGATGGTTTTTACGCTGGATTGATTAATAGCTACCACAGTGGCAGTGACGGAAATATTTGTAACGCCGTATACTAATCGTCGCTTGGAACAGTCTGGCAACAGATTGTAATAAGCGAGGAAGTCAGCTCCGATTATGGAAGTACCAACATCTGCTATAACAAAGTTCCATCTAAATTCTCGACGGAGTCCAAAGTTGAGACGAAGGATATGGAAGCCGTATGTCTTAATTATGCTCCCGTTAGCAGCGCGGACATCGAATCCAGAAGCTCTGGAGGGACCGCGAAGAAGTCGGCGGGGAAAGCAGCAAATATCCGATCCGGTATCGATAAGAAATCGATGACCCGACTCGGTATCTTAAATGAACAAACGGCGGCTAGTACTAAGATCACAATCAGACGCCGCTACTGATTGTTCAGGCCGTTTCCCGTCTGATCGGGTTTCCATGTGTCAGTTCGTCAAGGCGTTTCGTAAATTGGCCGCAGAAGCAGAATTAGCTGAAGCGCTTTTACCAGGGGCAACGTCAACAATACCGTCAGCTAGCTCAGCAAGCTTGCTCAATGGTAAGTCCTGATGAGCCATCAGGATGCGCTGGACGTCAATGGGCAGGTGACGCATCCATAACTCGCGTACAATGCCATCGTCTCCTTTTCCTGCCAAAGACTGCAGGTGACGAAGAAAAGAAGAAGGCTTGCGGTCGCCCATCTGCTCTTCGCCTAGAAGTTGGCGAATGCGTTACTCTCTGGAAACTGAAAATCGTTTGATCTACTCGGTTTTCAAGTTTTCATACTTGTCATCTGCTGGAGGATGAGCAATGACGTCTTCCACCTCGTCAGCCACATCAGGTTCCAGCTTTAAAAGTAAATCCTTGGTAATCCTTGGTAATGCCTGCGACTTCGAACTGTGCTTCAGCCTGTGCGAACCAAATTGCTGGTTTGTCGGGCCAAAACGGAGACAACTTAACACTGACTGCTCCTACATTTTGTTCAGTGTTACTACCTGCTTGGTTGACACATAATCTAGCAACCTGCCGTTTAAGCTCTTCAATCTGTTGCTTTAATTCCTCTTCCATTATTAAAAAAATAATAATGCACTAAACAATATTATAATAAAAGGTAACTTGCAAAATAATAGTCAAATAATGCACAAAACATTCAACAACAAATTAAATTTCGATTATAAAACCAACCGAATAAAATTAAAATAAAATATTTACTAATATACAACAACTTGTAAAATATTGGCAAACAATGAACAAAAACATACAATTATACCCAAGGACATATGGTGTCAAACAAACAAAACATATACAAACAAAAAAAAATGCAAAGAAAAATGAAATTAAAATTTCTAATAATTTCCTACCCAGCAATGCAAGTATTAAAATTTCCAATGGCAGTTAATGAGTTAGATGGAAAGTAATTTAAAAAAGTTAAAAGATACTATTTAGCACAGGTAGGTTAGTTATAAAAGTTATTGTAAAGTATACTATATATTAGTCCAGTTATATTAGTCCAAAAGTTGTTATAAAACACCAAAACCAAACAAAAAATGTTAAATATGTTATAAACAAAAATTATAAACATAAAGTATAACACACAAAATAAAATAAATGAGAAATATCATAGTATTATATGCTAGAGCCAAGAAAATAAAAGTTAAATTTAAATTGTCCATTCAAATGTGGCAAGGTCTGGGGAAAATGGGAGAAAAAGTTCCTTCACCGTTCACCGCAGAAAGTTTATAAAGGGAAAATGCTTGTAAAAAGTCCTGGATTACACTGACACTTGTTAGAAAGTTAGTTATTGTTTGTAATTAGTTAGCACTGTGAAAATGTTAGAAGGAGAACGGGCAGGGCAAGAAAGTAGCTCGTGCCGCTACCGGAACGTACCTCAGATGAAGTGTACAAATATTTTATAAGGGCAGAACAATATGGACAAGATATCTATGTAATATTATTGTTTCAGTTATACCGCATCAAGACTCGACGTATTTGCACACTGAACCGATTGTGCCCATCGGGTTTTGGATCGCCCTGCAGGACGCGTGCTTGTCCAATGGCTGCCTCTGGATCGCCAGAGGCTCCCACAAGTCGGGAGTCCACAGACGCCTCGTCCGGAACCCGGACACAGAGTCCAAACAGGCACTCATCTACGACAGACCCGCGCCGCATTACCCACAGTCAAGTTTCACCGCTGTGCCCGTCCGTAAAGGTACAATTCCGTTTCCTCCTCGCAATAAACTCCAACCGCAGTAGTCAAGCGCTGGCCGGTTATTGATTAGTAGAAAGGAGTAAACATCTGTGACACACAAAAGCACAATTTACATCTACCCGGGACGATCCCTTGTAGAGCACCGACATTTTGTCTCGTAATGGGTATGAATCTACCAACCAGTGTCATTGGCGAGTGGCAAGGCAGTCAAAATTATACTATTATTAATTATTACATAAGGTTGTAATAGTACGTTTTACATTTTTATAATAATAGTTATTTTTTATGAAATACTATAAAAGCCTTTCTGACAATGTAACTACAAATACGAATAGACAACCTTATGTAGTTCGGACTCGGACTGTCAATTGGGCGTCACAATTTCAAAAGTTCCGTTCGTAGGATTATTTAGTGCAGTTGAAAGCACCGTTTTATATATACACCGTTTTATGTACATGATGGACTCCAAGACCTAAAAGACGAGGCAATAACAGCAGCACTAGCATTGGATAGCATAAAATCTCTCTGTACAAAATATATAGAAAAAGTACGGAAAAGATTATCGCCGCTGTGGGTATCGAACCCACGTCTTCGGCATTAGCGGCCTGACGCTCTAGCCACTGAGCTAAACGGCTGATTGCCACATACAAACTTAAATTTGAAGCAATGCTTGGCGCATCCATTGTTATATCGTTTCCAGCATACAAACAATTTCGAATATCGTTTTACAACGATAATTCATCGGCCTGTCTGTTTTGTTACTTGCTAATCTATTTATGATTTGCCACATTTTTGAAGGATTTCTCTGACAAGTTGCGAAAGCCTTAAAATAATATTGCTTTTTAGTAGTTTGGATGTTTATGTTATTAATTTTTCTTTTGCGTATGAAATCCTGTCTCAATTGATCATCATGCGGTCTTTGTTTTAGTTTATGCCACAGATCGTTTCCCTTATTTATTAATATTATTAGGTCTTTATTTATCCAGTCGTTGCAGGGAGGATTTAATCTTTTGGTCTTCTGAATTTTGTTTTTTTTTTTTTTTCAATAGTTTGTACTAGGGTAGATCACTGTAGTCCTTAAACTTTTTGGAGATAAGAATTTCTTTAATATAATTCAATAGGTTTCCATAGTTAATTGTTTTATATTGGACTCTTCTAACTGGTTCGGATTTTAATCTATTTATTTCGAGGTAAATCTGTTTGTGGTCAGAAAATGAGGATTCAATGATTGACATCTGGAATGTTGACCCGTAGATTTGTACATGCATGATCTATGATTGTTCTGGTAGAATCCGTTACACAGTTGCAGTATTCTGCGTTAATCTTATTTAATAATTTATTGTTTTCATGTAGCATTTCTTTATATTCTTTTACATAGATTTCATTTTTATTAAGTATAACCAAATTTGTGTCGCCAAAGACTACAATACGTTCTCTTCGTTTGATCTGATCATTATACTTTTCGAGAAATTTTTTTTGTGCTTTCTGACGGTGGTTTGTATATTGCTCCTATATCTAAGAAAAGTGTGTTTATGTGTACCCATAGAAAGTGGATCTTCGTAATTTTCTTCAAGAAATTCGTTATTTATGCTGTTGTGAATAAAAGTTGATACTCCGCCACCTTTGGAGTCTTTCCTATAGTTGTAGTAATGAGTATAATTTGGTATTTTTACTAGTCTTTGAGCCTGGATTTCGTTTTTTATCCAAGTGTCCGTGAAGATTACAACATGAATAATTGCTTGGAATGATTCTATGACACATCTCAATTCGTCAAGTTTGCCGCGTTTAACTAAGCTGCAGGCATTGGTATATAGAAATTTAATCGTTTTGCCATTTATTTTCATATTTTCATTATTAGTGTGCACTTCATGAATTGTTTTATAATTTTATTGGTGCTGGCACCGGGGATCGAACTCCGGTTGGTCCAGTATATTGAATTAAAGGCGAGCGCCCGGACGCTGAGCTATCACGGCTCTATAGTCATTATTCAATACATTATTACCTTTAAAACTAATCTTAGAAATCAAATACAATCAATAGGCCTAAAAAGTCCAATAACTTAACCTTCTGCTACCTTATATATGTAAGTTATAATACATAATGGACAGTTTTTGACGTTGAAACCATTAAAATATCATATCATCATCATGTATCATCACATATCATCAGATGAAGTTGGATTTCTTTCTAAGTTACTTTTCTTTTTAAAGTTCTATAGAGACTGGGAAGAGAAGAAATCTTCGCATATTATTTCGAACTTTGTGGATGTTGCGACAGCAAGTCAAAGTTATCTTTACAGTTGGAGCAATATAAATTAACCTTTGAAAGAAGCCCTGGAACGTTTTTAACCGCACTACATGACACAAAGCTGCGCAATAGAGCAACAACTGGCTATAAATCTTTTAAACTTTAGCAAAGTGACTGAAGATTAATTCCCAAATCATAATTTATGATTTTTGCACATCAATATTTCTAAAACGAATCTTCCATTAGTGCAAGATCATAAGATTTGGTAATCTAATCACAAGATACTATTAAGCCCAATCATCACCATTCATGATCATTCCCTAGATTAACAAATCCACTACCTTACTAACACTATAAAATCCAAAAATGTAGTACAAATGTAAATCAGGTAGGTACATTTCAATTAAATTTCTTGTTTTGCAGGCACTTGCATCATATTACATGGGAACGTGGTTCACAAAAGCGCTCACAACAAATCAGAGAACAGTCGCCATGCATACACCTTCCATGTGATTGAAAAACAAGGGAACGTCTACTCGCCCGATAATTGGCTGCAAGAGGGTCCGGAAGCCCCTTTCCTGGACCTTTATACGACTCCTAATGTTATCTAACTTTTTGAAGTCGAGATCTCCTCCTAATGTTATTTCAGTACTTTAAGACAAAGCTTCAATATACAAGAACATAACCGTACCAACATATATGATATTATGGTATGAGTCAGGAAGACTTTTCACGAGCGAAATGACCTATAAAGCACATGCTTATGTTATATGTCAACACTGAATGTGGTCGAGTTTTTAATCGTTTTTGTTATTTGACAATAAGATAATTCCTTACATCCTGTTTTATCCCCAAGGACTTACATTCCGTTAAAATATGATGTGACATCCATCCATCCAAATTTATCTAATTTAACAATGTAAGATTTCGTAGGAGTAAGAGTAAGTACAAAATTTATACCCGGTGAAATTTTGTATAGGAACAAAACATTATTTATCATACCACTTTTAAATTGTTACAGAAACAATTTGCATTCCGATCGTTCTTCTACATTTCAAGCAAATTTATTAAACAGGAGGCAAATATTTTTATACATTTCTTTATGTTTTATTTTACGTATCTCTATCACTTGTTTAAAATACACCATATCATGACATGTACCGTATTTTGCGATGTTTATTGTGATAATTTGTTTAATTAAATAATCCATTCTGATTCTTCTTTCATTTTCATCCTTATCAGGTTAATATGTATAGTACCTGGAGGACCGAGGATTGCTCGGTTTTTTTTTTGGTAAATTATTTATTTTGGAAATAAAAAATATAAAATATAAAGAAAATGATCTGATATAGAAAAAAAAGTAAAAAAATAAGTGTGTAGGTAAATGATCGTGATACGAACCACGGCCGTCTGTTTTGGGGCCGCCCGTTTACCGACCGAGCTATTATAAAATTTCATTTTGCGACAAAATTTACTGTCATATTCGAATGATATTTTTCATCCCCTGAAAACAGGGATAAAAGGACATTTTCTAAAAATGAAACCTAGCTAGATTTTTCGCCCCCGAATCTACGCACATACTAAATTTCATGAAAATCGCTGAAGTCGATTCCGAGATTCCGATTATATATATAAATATATATTTTTATATATATACAAGAATTGCTCGTTTAAAGGATAAGATAAGATTTCGTAATATAGCACTTGAAAAAAATCGATCTTTTGATAAGTCATTCGTTTTTCAATTTTTTTTTCTATATCATATATTATATTGTTAGAGATAAATTATAATTATGTGAAATTTTCAAAATAAATTTAAATAATCTATAAAATACGAATGTTAAAATTTAAATTATAATATTATGCCAAAGAAATAATTTTTAAATTAATTTAAATTGTAATAGGATAAAATAACAATTTATATATGGCAACCCTCGTATTGTGAAGTTAGCTACAGGTACCGACGTGACTTTTTTTTAAAGTAACAAAACTTATTTAAGGCCAAAACACGTCAGTCGACGGGCAGTAATAATAAATACGCGAGGTTCAGGCTAGGCGCCTCGAGCGCCCGGCCCCCTCAGGTCCGTCGGATCTGTAAAGGCCCCTAAGGCCAACAGTGGCTCATCCAGCCAAAAAAAAAAAAGTCGACGGGCAGTCGCGAATAGTCAGTCACACGAGCATCTTTAGAGAGATTATATTTAATATGTAAAGTGTTAATTCCTTAAAAGTGTGTTTCTGTTTATAAAACCCATTCTAACATCATATAGTATTATATATTATTATACCATATTATACTATACTACATAATAAATGAAAATGTCGCAGACTGCATAACTACTTATGATTTACATTAAAACAGACCGAGCTTTGCTCAGTTTGCTTTTGTTTTTGGTAGATCGTGTATTTTGGAAATTACATTTAGATACAAATTACTGAGTAAAAAGAAAGAACTTTAAAAAAAAGGAAAAAAATAACAAAATCATTTGGATCGAATAAAAGTAAAAAATAAAGAAAGCAATGATAAGTGTGTAAATTATTGTGACACGAACAGTTTTTCGGTGAAATTTACCGTCGTATTCGAATGATATTTTTCATTCCCTGAAAACTGGGATAAAACAACATTTTCTAAAAATACGCACAAACATGATTTCATGAAAATCACTGGAGCCATTTCCGAGATTCCGATTATATATACACACCGGCACAATTAGCGGAACTCAAAAAAAAGCAGGATTTTAAAATCTTTTACTTGAGGAACTGGCCAGTTATGATATTTTTTTAATTTATTGTCAAATTTGAAAATAGAAAATTAGATGACACACACTTTTTTCATTCATTTGTTTTATTTTCCCGAACAATACGTTTTGTCAACTTCTTCGAGTAATAACTACGTAATTGTAATTTTTTTGAAAAATTGCACTTAATGGTTTTTTATAAATTTGTTATTCTATAGGCAATGTTGTTTATTAAAAGCTCTTTATTATGCCTGACTTAACATCACTGGAAATCATTAGGGCTGATGAAATGAGAAGAAATGGTACTACAGATCTACTGCCTCAAGGCTTCGTCGACCAGTATCAACGATTCATCGCAGCATCCAGCGGTACAGATCGTCTAATTCTCTTGTGAGGAGGAAGGGTCAAGGTAGAAAAAGATGTACATCGAGGCGAGATGAGAGTTTTTTACAACTTGGAGTTCGTAGGAATACGCGATTAACGGCTGTACAAGCTCGAAATGAACTGGAAGACGTTCGAGGAGTACGAGTAAGTGAGCGTACAGTTCGCAGGAGGTTTGAAGAAGTTGGTTTAGGGTCGTATATACCTGCCAAAGGCCCAAAACTTGAGAGACGTCACCGCGTAAACCGATTAAGCTATGCGCGAGAACATCGTCATTGGGATTTGAACGAATGGCAGCAGGTTCTCTTTACTGATGAGTGCAGAGTTCTTTTAAAACAGATCGATGGGAGACAGCGAATATGGAGACGCAAAGGAGAACGCCACATACAGTCTAATTTTGAACACACAGTGACTTATGGTGGCGGCTCGATTACGGTTTGGGGAGGGATATGTTTGGGAGCTCGCACGGAGTTAGTGATAGTCACAGGAGGGACCATGACAGCAGATCGATACATCAGAGACATTTTAGAAGAACATGTTGTACCATTTGCCCCATTTATTGATGACGACTTTATTCTAATGCAAGATAATGCTCGTGCTCATAGTGCACAATCGGTACAGGCATATCTGAGCCACGTAGCTATACCGGTGATGCAGTGGCCAGCAAATTCCCCCGATATGAATCCGATAGAGCATGTCTGGGACTTGCTAAAAAGAAGGGTTAAATCCAGAATGCCACCCCCCAACAATCTGAATGAACTTGGAAACGCATTACTTGAGGAGTGGGGGCGGTTGCCTCAAGAAATCATCGATAACATAATCTGTAGCATGCCCAGACGAATGGAAACCGTAATCAGAGCAAGAGGGGGAAACACTCGTTATTAATTTTGCTTTAATTTTATTGTTAAATCATTTAATGCTAATTTTTTTTTTTATTTTTTGTGATGGTTCATAATCATCTAAAAATTTCACTTATTTCAAATTTCTTTATTTTTCAATAAAAAATAACGAAGACTTTTCAAAGTCGTTGTTAAAAGATGTTAATCAATTTGTTATTTTGTGTCTAATTACATTTTCGTCAAATATATGCGTTATTATCTCATAGTCTCACTTTTTTTCTGTTCCGCTAATTGTGCCGGTGTGTATATATATATAAGAATTGCTCTTTTAATCTGACTTTCGGTGAAAATCGGTCCTCCAGGTACTTATCTATAAAAACGGCAAAAAATCATCTCTATTGTGTGGAAGCCCTTCTTAAAAAACTTTTATTCTAATTTTTAGTACTTGTAGTTTTAACCAAAAATACATCATCTGTGAACATTTCAACAGTCTAACTCTTACGGTTCATGTGATTCAACCTTGTGACAAACGGACCGACAGACAGACAGCGGAGTCTTAGTAACAAGCTTTCCTTTGGTACGGAACGCAACGGTGGGTACAGAACCCACCATATATTAACTACCACCGGTTCACTAAACAAGTCTCGATATCTCTTTTTCTTTTTTTTTGTGTTACAATTATAAGTGCAAGTGCAATTTATTCTTGGACATTGTAATAGGCATTTGCCATTAGGGTAGCTTTTACAAAATATTTTAAAGTATCACTTAGTTATTTGTGGATGTCACCTATTTTATTATACAAGTTAATACATCTACTAAGAAACGACTTTCTTGTTTTAGCCAGTCTAAACCTCGATACTTCCAGAGTGTCATCACAACGCCTATTTTTGTAAATAAGTTGATATTATTAGGTACCTTAATGGTGTCCTCGAATATGTACAACGACAGGAGCGTTAAAATGTTTATTTGTTTAAAATATCTCGTTGTGCTTCAGGTGGACACAAGCAATAGACAGCCCGCATAGCCCGTTTTTATAATACAAATATTGTGTCCGGATATGTAACCCGAACCATAAGACATAATGCTGGAAAAATAAACATAATAAACTAATTTAGCTGTTGCCTTGTTAGGTTCAATCAATCAAATCCCCATTGCAACTTGGAGTCAATGCATATTCCAAGAAAGTCTGTTGAATCCTCATTCATTTTCTCATCAATAGAGGTTCCTGACTGATGAGAAAACTTTGATAGACTAAATCCAATACATTTTTTAATGGAGTTCAAAAGTAAAATATTGGCATCAATCCAGCCTGACACAACATCTGGTATATTTGTTTGTTTTTATTTTTTTTTTTTATTTTCTTTTATCTCTAAACAGTAGTGAAGTGGCTCAGGGTCGTACTTAGTGGCAGTCTGTGGGGGAGGCATGTGTGCAGTAGACTTAAACAAGCAAATTGGCCATTCTAATATATTTTGTCGACTAACTAAATCGGAAATATATATGGTGCGAAAATAACATTAGAGCAGATTTCTAGAAAAGAATAGAATAGAAAAGAAAAGTCTTTATTGATCATACATAAACACCGATTACAAAAATAAAAAAAGGAACAAAATAACTAATTTAAATAAATAAATACAATATATTACATATTTC